CTAACTCTGAAATTTTAACGTTTCAGAATTTTTTATTACAGAATGAAACGTGAAACCGATGCAAATGTCTTGATTGATATCATCATGATTACTACCATAACTTTTATGTGCAAACAATTTTCTCATACATACATACAAAAAATGCATTCATTTTAATTTTAATAAGTGTCATTTTTGAGATAATAGCAATAAAATGAATAATGAAAAACATTTGTATCAATTTAATTAGTAAATTAAATAATAAAATTACGACATATCATTAGAGAGAAAGAAAAATCAAAATATAAATTAATAAATAATATATTAGCCATTGAATTTAATGATAAAAATATATTTATATATGCGTGTATCTATCCATGAACTCATTCACTCATTCATTCATTTACTCATCCATTTACTCATCCATTTACTCATTCATTCGTTCATTCATTCATTCATTCATTCATTCATTCATTTATTTATTCACTCATCCATTCATTCACTCATCAATTCATTCATTCACCTGTAGGCATGGATACCTGGATGGTGCCCAGGTAGTGGCAGTAGATGACTTTCTTTGGCTCATCCATTGGAGTTGGGAAGGAAGAATCTGTCATTTATTCATTCATTCAATTGATTGAGTGATTGATTGACTGATTGATTAGTTGAGCGTCTAACCGATTGATTGATTGATTAAGTGAGTGGTTGATTGATTGAGTGACTGAATATAAATCAATGAAATAGATTCCAAGAGAAAATAATAACAGCCAACAACAACATGCAGTCCAAACGAAATGATTAACACCGTCAAGGGCACTTACTTTTGAGTAGGTCTTCATACTTGGCCAGCACCTCCCCGCATCCACTGGCCGCCGTGCTCCCCCCATCAAAATCAGGCAAATTGTTCGGTCGGGAGCCATTCGAACTTGAACTACCGCAAGCCACAGCTGACGACGACGAGTACGTTGACGACAGCAACTTGCTGTTCTTGCGAGCGACGGCCATCTTGCAGACGTGGCACAAGGTCGATGCGATGTGTCGAGCGGGCTGGTCACAACGAAACACGTGGCAAGCGAACGCGCGAGTCGACTTATCTCGAGCTACGTAGGCGAAATCTCTGCGCAGTTGCAATAAAATTAGTTACGTCCTGTCAGCTGCCTGGATGTTCATTTGGCAGCCACGATCGAATCAAAAAATGGATATTCATGGAAACAACAGATACGTTGGAAGTTGGACTGATGAAAGCAGCACAGCCATATTAACGAGAATGAAATAAAATAAATAAAACTGAACAAAAGATGTTGTTTCAATCGCCTGCACCATGAATAATTCGTTAAAAAAGATTAGTATATGTCTTGCTTCTTTGCAACAGAAAAATAAAGAACATTAAATAAGAATTTATAACAATTATTCAACCAGCAGAGGCTGAAACTAAAAATCAGCCCAGCATTCAACAAACATACTACAACCTCTCAAACACTCTTACTAATATACCAACCTATCAATCAAGTTACCAGTCAATAAACAAGCTGACAACGTAAAAAATATACAAATTCGATCAACCAACCAACCAACCAGTCTAACCAACTAGCCAACCAACCAAACAAAACACAACCAACCAACCAACCAACCAACCAACCAACCAACCAACCAACCAACCAACCAACCAACCAATCAATCAATCAATCAATCAATCAATCAATCAATCAATCAATCAATCAATCAATCAATCAATCAATCAATCAATCAATCAATCGATCAATCAACCGATCAATCAACCAAGCAATCAACCGATCATCCAAACAACGCATCCATCCAACCAATCAATCAGCCAACCAATCATCCAACAAACCTGGCATTTTCTCTGCCAACTCCCCAGACCCTGAGCGTTTTGATGGCCTGCGTGTTAAGGACAGTGAGATCGAACGGGTCCACCAGGCAGAGGTTGGATGGATCAATGTCCATGTACAAATACTTGCCCTGGTCGCACGTTCAAATTCAATCAGAAATTTCAACATCGTGTTTGTTGGTAACCAGTCCAACAAGCATTGCTGATAACTTAAAATTTCATCATCAGCGATTTATCGATATTTTTAAAAGTTGAACATCAGTTTAAAAATTTTTGTACTTTTTCAAGAATATATTCGGGTATAAACAATCTTCGACAATATATAAATCTCTGTTCTAAGAACCTGATGATCTTTATTAATTTTGACGAGCAAATAAAAAAATTGTATCATCGTATTGTTAAAAGACATGAAAAAAATTTTGCCAAAAAACTTTTTAATAAGATTTAATAAACGTGACCGCTTGGATTTTTATAAATTCGTATTTTTGGCATAAAAAACATGAGCAAAACATCTTCAGTCCCAACCTGTCGGAGACGGATGAAAAATATCCCACTTGACCCCTTAAAAAAATCCGACTCTAGACTTCAAGTAAAACTCCGACTGATTCCGGGTTCGGAAATCCATAAAAGTTTTTCCAATTTTTATATCATAATTTCATCTTATTATCATTACTAAATAAAAAATAATTTAATAAACACTTAAAATCAGTCAATGTAATTGTTTCTCTTAGTAAAATTACTTTATTTTTATGTTTTACAACATACTGAAAAAAATTATGTGATTTTTAATTTTTTACATTTTATTCACATTATTTTAGCATTTATTTTCAGCATTTAAAATGATCCTCTCAAAAAACTTGAAAAATTTTGAGAAAAAAAAATTTTTTTTCAAATAAATAACATTTTCCGGAGTCGAATAAAAAAATCCGTATCCGGCAAAAATCTCCGACCGACTCTGATTTCGACCGACTCCAACACTATGCTCAGTGCACTCCGAATAAACGAAATATGTGAGGTCGTCCAAAAAAAAACCGATTATTGCCGTGATAATAGGTTATTTCAGTAGCCTTCACACAGTATTCATTTTCAATAACTTCGGATATTGATTTCTAGAGAGAAAAAAAGAAGAAAACGAAAATAATTCCGAATGGAAGGAACTGTGGTAATCATGATTAACTGACTTGAGTCATCTATCTCTCTCTTGTAGAACATCATTTCACTAATCAATTAACTCTTCCAAGCAACCAATCAAGCAATTCAATTCTTCATTAATCCAACCACCAATCCTTCCTCTACACATGTATCCATTCTTCCTTCTATTCATCCATCCATTTATCCACCCATCCATCCATCCATCCTACCTCCACCTATATGTCCATTCTTCCTTCCATCCATCCATCCATAATCACCCCCCCTCCACTTACATCACCCCACTTGCCAATGGAATCGTTTATGTCTTTCTTTGCTCCTGATGTCGACAGGTCCACAATGCACTTGTTCACCTGTAACAATCATCGTCACCATCATCACAACGATCATCGTCACCATCATCACAACAATCATAATTATAATCATCACAACAATCATCGTCACCCTCATCACAACGATCATAATCACCATCATCACAACAATCATAATTATAATCATCACAACAATCATCGTCACCATCATCACAACGATCATCGTACCATCATCACAACAATCATAATCATCAACCCAACAACAAACATAATATAATCATCAACACTATTACATACAATACAACAATATATCACCTCTGAGATCTTTTTAAACGGCACTTACAAATACACTAATAATAATAATAATAATAATAATAATAATAATAATAATAATAATAATAATAACAATAATGAGAACATCCTTTTATTTTCATTTTAAAACATACATAAAGTTAAAGTAATAAAACTTATAATGTAAATTTTATAGATATTCTACAATGCTCGCCATACATTTTAAATGGGCACAAAGAGAAATAGAATCAGCATTAAATTATGTTCAAATCGTGTTCCTATCACAGTAAATTGCGTTAAGATGACGATACTTCGGAATAATAATAATAATAATATAAAAATAATAATAATAATAATAATCGGGTGCACAAGTTGGCTGAAAGTAAAGGGGGCAAAGATAAAAACATTGATGGGATTGGAGAGCAAGCAGCGGTAAGCAACATGGTGGTATTAGGAACCGGTGATTTGATAGTTGCCATTTAACAGTGGTACTGGCACAGTAATGCAAGATAAAAAAAACCGCATGGGGGATGCCATGCTGGAGTCGATAATGACGATGTACAAATGAACATTAGGATAATAAATTTCTCAACAACTGCCATGCACTTGAAACAACAACATTTGCCATCTTCCCATTAAACAACAACATCATCTACCACCTCCCCATCAAACAACATCTTCACCACATTTCAATGCAAACAACAACTTTCACATCCACACACACACACACACATCTCTCACGTTCACATTCAAACGACATCTTCAATGTAGA